AAGAACATAAGAACATAATAGAAGCCAATGCTGGATCAGGCCAGTGGCCCATCCAGTCCAACACTCTGTCACACAGTGGCCAAAAATACCAGATGCCATCAGGAGGTCCACCAGTGGGGCCAGGACACTAGGAGCCCTCACACTATTGGCCCCCCGCAAGCACCAAGAATACAGAGCATCCCTTGCCCCAGAGTCCCTATCTATACCTTGTGGCTGATAGCCACCAATGGACCTCTGCTCCATATGCTTATCTAATTCCCTCTTGAAGTCATCCATGCTTGTAGCCGCCACCACCTCCTGTGGCAGTGAATTCCATGTGTTAATCACTCTTTGGGTGAAGAAGTACTTCCTTTTATCTGTTCTAACCCAACCACTCAGCAATTTCATGGAGTGCCCATGAGTTATTTACTAAATTACTTGACGATATAAAAGTTCTATATAAGCAACTGTTCAATAATTGCTACTAAATATTTAAAATGAATTACTGGAAGACAAATTTATTTAACACAATCAATGTTTCACAGTTTCTAAAACCATGTAAAGCTTTTACAGTACCTACTTTTAAGATACACAGCATATAATTATTATTGCAGTACTATAAACATGAATGGCCATGATCCAAGCCAAAGCATTTGGAACCAAAGCGGTTTCAATGGAAGAGTTCTAGAAATGCTTGAATCTCTGCCATATTACTCAGCAGGTCTTAAAAGTGCTCATGTTTGACTAGACAATGCTATATTACATTTAGATAACAATCCTAATATCCTGAATTGATATCTGCTCTTCATTTACTGCTAACCTCAGGTCTGACTGAGAATTGATTCAAAACAGCACCAACAGACCAAACAGTGATGCACACTGGCAAGCTCAGAGCAATTGTGGGACAAGAACAAAGTAAAAGCATTTTTTTATGTGGCTCATTAAGAACATGAGAACATAAGAAGTGCCCTGATGGATCAGACCAGTGGTCCATATAGTCTAACATCCTGTGTTCAGCCACTGTACAATAGAGGATGCTAGATACCAGTGGTCCATATAGTCTAGCATCCTGTGTTCAGCCACAGTACAATAGAGGATGCTAGACTAAATGGGCCACTGGACAACAAACGGAGCATAGAGACCAAGACCTTCCCCTGACGCTGCCTCCTAGCATTAGTATTTAGAGGTCTACTGCCTCCATATATGGAAGTCTCCTTTACTTATCATGGCTATTTATGGACCTCTCCTCCATGAATCTGTCTAATCCCCTAAGGCCATCTACACTCATGGGCCATCACTACATCCACTATCAGTGCATTTCACAAGAAGTACTCCCCTTCGTTTGTCTGTCTACTGCCTATCAGCTTCAACGGGTGCCACCAGAGTTCTAGTGTTATGGGAGAGGGAGAAAAAAGTTCTCTTTATTCACTATGGAAGCATGACATTTCAGAAAAGAAGGTCAGGTCAAAACACCCTCATGAACTTACTGTGATTTAAAACATTAGTTAAATCCAAATAGGAGATCTCCTTGTGGAGGGTTTTTCCTAGCTTCCTCCACCACAATCCTTGCGATTTCCGAAAACCCCTCCTCAGTCAGAGTAGAACATCCCCAGCTGCTAAGGACAGTGATTCAACATCCAAGTACAGTGCCTGAGACAAAAACAGGTCCTCCTCCTGAAGCATCTGACTAAACGGATCCTCTGAAATCATCACCCAAGCAGTGAATCACACTTGTTGCGGCCAATATGGGACAAGCGGCAGACGGGTGAATGTCATCCTGTTGCCATCCTGCACAACATTCTGCTAAGCACCAGAGATCTAAAGAAAACGCATTGACCAGAACGCCCCACTGCTTGAAACTGAAAAGCACCCCCCAGCGGGTCAAAACTCTCGTGGTTCCAGCGAGCCACACTTATCACAGTTTGTGTTGAGCTCTGTCACAAGCAGATAGATTTCTAGAAATCCTCAGTCAATTTAAATCGCAGAGTACTTCCAAAAAAACACTGTTCTAAACAAAAAGGGGCATCACTATGAATGCTGAGATAGAATTTCATTTGAAATCATATAGTAACCTGCCAGAATTAAATTTGTACAGGTGTAGGACATCTCCTCGACTCTTCACTTGGAAAAGTTAGTTAGAATTGTTTTATATACTGTAAATCATTTTATTAAGAAAAAAATGGCATGGAAAATCAATCCCTGGAAAAAGTGTTATTTCCAACGTTTACCCTCAAACAATCAGTTTACCTGATTAATCAAATCAAATGGGTAGAGCCACTTTGAAGCCTGAGAACACACCATAACCCAAGGAATCCTTCCACAGCCTTTGGTTGACTCAGCACAGCAAAGACCTGAAGGCTCCCCAACCACACCTGATAAACTCAGCAAAACTCTTGACAACAGGAAGTTCACCAAACCCATGCGCGTTTCACAATGGTAACAGAAATACACAGCCAGATGTATAACTTTTTCCAAGTGGGGTAGCCAGTTTATATAAAGGAGACATCTATAAAATCCATCACATATGGTGTGATTGAGGCTGTGGTCACACGGCCATTTTGATCGGGTTTCACTGCTGTTCCCTCCTGCATTTAAAATTGCTGATCAGATACATCCATCTTCCGCACCGAAGTGGGCTCACTCGCGCAACCCTCCCGGTTCCCTAGCGAATTTTCCTACACCTGGAAAATCAAGTACTTTCCGGGTATTTACGCTTTGAATCTGCAATTTCGCAGATCTGGACAGCCAGCTCCCGCAAGGATCGCAATTAGGTCGTCTGAACGTCCTTCTCGTGATGTTTCCCCCCCCCTCTAAGCTTCTGTCGTTGTGCACATGAGCAATCCTGCGCTGAATAAATTCAATGTATAAATGTTCAAGGGCACGTATAGACTCCAGTGCCGGTTAATTTTGTTTGCTGGGGGTGGGGTGGGGGGAGTCTGAAAAACAAAGGGAGTCTGCAAAAACAAGGAAGTACGGTGAGTCCTAGTGGGAGCAGTGATGCGGCCATGTGTATATGCGCAAAGCCAATTTTTTTTAAAAAAAAAAACACACCATGCTGCCACTTGGGCTATCTGGACGGTGCCCGGAGCCTCGTTGCATGATGCAAGCAGTTCGGGGAGGGATGTGTGATCATCCCCACCCGGAAAAAAAATATTCCCAATCAAATCTATAGCGGGAACAAATTGAGATAAGCTTGCCGTGTAGCCACACTTTAAGTTAAATTTCTGATTGCCTTCAGGTCCATAACATTTTCCTGGCTATTAAGTATCACACAGCTTATTATTAGGCTGGAAAGCCAACTGTGACCTCTTAAAAAAAAAGCTACTGATATCTCACCAGCTTTGTACTAGAAAGGCAAGTGACACACCTGTGTACCACCTCCTACAGAAGCATCTAGTTTTCATACTTTTATTATGTGAAGCACAGTATTTTTCCCATTTGTAAAACCTTCTTTCTATGAAGGCAACAACTTCTAGATTACAACCCTTGCTGCCCCATTATGTCGCCTTTGTTTATCTGCATATGTCGTTAACATGTATCACTTTCTGTATAATCTCCACATACTGTACAGCGCTACTTCTGTCTCTCTGAAGATACTCCTCCTCACCATATCTCACCCTTATCTTCAATTCATTTTACGTTTGGTAAAACGTAAGCCAGTTTGGTGTAGTGGTTAAGTGCGCGGACTCTAATCTGGGAGAACCGGGTTTGATTCCCCACTCCTCCACTTGCACCTGCTGGATGACCTTGGGCAAGCCGTAGTTCTGATAAGAGCTGTTCTTGAAAAAGAGCATTTTTGTCAGAGCTCTCTCAGCCCCACCTACCTCACAGGGTGTCTGTTGTGGGGAGGGGAAGGGAAAGGAGTTTGTAAGCCGCTCTGAGACTCCTTCAGGTAGTGGAGGACGGGGTATAAATCCAATCTCTTCTCTTCTTCTTCCATGTGTACCATCACCTTATCACAGAGTGTCCTGTCCATAGCCAACCGCATGGCCAAGGCAAGGCATCTCTCACCGATTTCAGCTTAAGCCAACATCTCTTCACATGTTGATGAATGTCACACTGATATGATTACTATTTTCAAGTTTAGTAACTTGAATGCAGATGTAATGAAGGCACAGGATCAAACATCCCTTCCCTTTCTGGCATCCATAACCGTGGTTAAGGGTTACCTATTGAACATGCTTAATACTAATCAAGTTTCCATCAACCAAGATTTGAAACCATGTGTTTATTTATTCACTTTATTTACATCCCGCCTTTCTCCCCAATGGGGACTCAAAGCGGCTTACATCGTTTTCTTCTCCTCCGTTTTATCGTCACAACAACCCTGTGAGAAAGGCTAGGCTGAGAGTGTGTGATTGGCCCAAGGTCACCCAGCCGGCTTCCATGGCATTGTGGGTATTCGAACCTGAGTCTCCCAGATCCTATTCCAACACTTTAACAACAACACCACGCTGGCTCAACAGGCCACAGTTAAGGGATGAGCCACATTATGTACGCACCAGCCCACAAACAAGAGCCTCTGTGGCTATTATTAAAAAGCTCTATGAATCCTAAACACATTTCCTAGGTGATGACTTCTCATTTTAAACCACCGCAATGATCTATATTGACTCCCAATAGTATAAACATGGCAAGTTATACCGGTAGTGTAGCCAAATGAAAAAAAGCAATCAACACCTCCAGCAACCATACGTCTTTAACGTGGACCCCCTTTTCCAAAACTGCAGAACTGACATGTTAATATTAAAAATAAAACATATTGAATGAAATCATACAAATCGCAGACCCATCCCACATTATGTAAGAGACCAGGGCGAGGCTTTTCCTCCTTTGGAAAAAGAGATCACCTTCAATTCTTTCTATGCCTCACCCATCATTATAAACCCTAAAATTAGTTACTGGACATTAAGTTACCTGTTAAGAATGGTATGAATAGACGGTGGCATACCTTTAAAAGAAACAAAACCCTTGCAGTGACAGAGCACTAGAATTATCTTTCCAAAGCACCTCTTACTTACATCAACAGGGACGAGAAGGCTCTTGCCAAGATGCTGATTAAAAGACAGACACCAGGCTTCGGTGTAACCATTCATATTAGGTACATATTTCCTTATTGTCTCATCATTCAGCCGCAGCCACACACCATCATCATTGTGGATCTATGATGAAGAAACACACACACAAGCCAGGCTACTTAGGCAGCAGGGGCTAAAAGATTGCATTTTCAGGCTTAGAAGAGTAGAACAGGAGATCAACTTTGGGGCTACGTAGATTAAGTTCAAAAGGCCCAGGAAAAGTTGACACAGGTGCCATTAAGAAGAATTGTGTTAAAAGAAGAAGGCCCTAGATATCTGCCATGTCATTATCAGCATGGGGATACAGGGCACTGTTCTCGAAAAACAGCTCATATGCCGCTGTTGAAAACAGTAATTTGGTAGCACAGCCTATCTGAGAATCAGACTGCTGGGTTATGAAAATAATTTGTACCAAGAACTGAAAAAGAGTGACCGGAAATATGTAAAGATAAAAAGGTGAATTAGAAATCAAGCTGCGGTCATGCACTCAAACTGTCACAGCTTTCCCTCCAAAATTTTATCTGCAATGATTTTTATCTGCAACATTTCCAGTTACATAAAGTAATAATGTTTCTGGGGGAAATGGGCATAATTTTTACAGGAAAATTGGAATAACTTAAGTATCTGCCTCACTTTTTCTAAAAAACAATCTCGTAGTCTGTAACATGAGTTTAAAACAACACAGAAAGCAAAATGGCTAGTTAATATGATGCCATTTATCTACCTAAATATTGTAGCCAATATCCAAAGAACTACTGTAGTCCCAAGTGCAACCAAGGACTTGTATGCATTCAATGAGATTTTAGGCTTTCTTCTTCAGACTTGTTGAAACTTCTATCAGTTTCAAATGGACTTGCCCTAAGGCATGGGGCTGCTGAGGAGAAATCCAAGGCCAATACTCTATAGCCATGTGCAAAACAGTTATGTGGTTCTTTGGATACTGGCCCTATTACATAAGTGATCATTTAACCGTGATTTCAATTCAATGTAAGTTTCTTTCAAGTTTACCTCATCAATAAAAGTAATGGATCCATTGACTTTTACTATGCCTATCTGCTCGCTCTGAAGGGAAGGGTGGCTGCGGATACGCAGCCCTGCACTGTCCTTGGCCACAAATTTGCGAACCTAAGAGAAGCAAAGAGACAGCAAATCAGAGAAATCTGGAACAGAGTTCTTGGGGGGGGGGGAGTAGTATAAAGGTACAGATTAAGAAATTCCACAGAAGTCAAGTAAAAGCTTCTCGGTAACTATAGCCTGCTGCTAAACTTTCCTTAAATGATCCTAGCTTTTTTTAAAAACACGCACAGAAAAATAAGCTCAACTCAAGCTCACTCACACACACACACAGAGATTATTTAATTCAAGATTAAAAATTATGCTAAGTAGTAAGCACACATGATGGTTATCTTCTGAAGTCTAAAATAAGGACTGAAGCACTTTTTCAATCCTTCCTATGGGCCACTTTTATTTCAAAGAAACACTTTCTATGTTTATGAGTTACCATTTAAGAGTTCAGTTTCTAGGATCTGGCTAGTATTTTACTTTATTTTATTTTATTTTTTAGTTTCCCAAGAATCATTTGCAAAGATCATTGAAACTGGATGCTAAATAAATTCAGGTGCAAAAGCTGCACTGCAGAAACAAGACTGAACAGCAAATTAGGTTTTAAGTATGTTACACCATGATATAACCATAATCATAATGCATGAACCAAGTAAAGAGCAGCTGGATCTCCAGATATTGTTTTATCTACCCCCCCCCAAGTTAAGACTGCAACATTTAACTGATTAAACAGTTTGAACAACTAAAATGCTTCCCCCTAATTAATGAGGCTAAAGATTCTTAAGTTCCAACTAGTTCTAATAAAAGCATACTTGTAAAACCTGCAGATGGCAGGTGTGACTGTGTAAAGGAAAAGTGGGAACGCCTCTTCTAAGAGGATGCCTACAGCAAATATGCATCTATTTAGAAACCAAACAGTATTTCTTCTTTAGAATCATGTTCTCTCATACTGATTTCTATCAATGAAACCAGGCAATCGCCTAAAACTCACATGATTAGTCTTGTAAGATTTCTTTGTGAGTGAAATATATTTTTAAAAAATAGTCTTTTGACACCTTACAGGTGAGAGATCTAAACAAAGATCAACACACATAGGTTGTCCCAATGATATCTACACTCAAAAAAAATTTAACACATAGACAATAAAATGCAGTTAAATCATTTTAAAAACAACCAAAGGTTAATATCACAGGCATGCTGAAGATATTTTCATTTACTTAATATGGTATCTACTTTTTGGCAGCAGGTTAAGACATTTTTACTTGCCATAAGCTTTAAAAAAACAACAACCCTGGCCACTTTTCAGAGCTTTTTTTAATTTTTATTTTAATGGCCAGTGTGTTTTTAGCAAGTATTCATGGCTGGGAACAATTCTGGATTGTTTATTTTATGGTTTTCCTAATTTCAGTAATGACTGATCACTGCAGAGGAAGTTTGGGGGAGGGGGGTGCTGTTACACTGTTGCTTTATTGTTTGGTTTTGCCAGGCTCTGTGTTGTTTCGTTGTAACTTTATTACAGTTTGCGGGTCCAGTGTTTAATTTACTACCGCAGGGACTGAGGACTGCAAGTGGTATTGAAACTCGGAGAGGCGGCAAATATAGTAAACAGACAGAAGCAATTATATGGGGGTACAGGTTTATTCATGTATATTGCTGAGCTGCCGCTGCAGAAATCTAGTCACAGTGGATTAAACTGAATTAAAACAATAAAACCCCCAAAATCTAGTCATGGTGGCTTGCAACTGAATTAAAACAATTAAGCCCCAAAAATCTAAACCCAGAGCTCCTGCTGCTCATATACTGGAGTTTAAAAAGCACAGCCCAAAACGTAACGGCAGTAACACGACAGAACCAGTCAAAGAAAAAGGTACAGGTCAGGAGAAACCAAGCAAAAGTCCAGCCAAATAAAACACTCTCCCGTTTTAAAGACAAGGCGCCTCCCTCGGACTTGTGTAGACAAAGACACACAAGAGTGGGGCCTAGGAAGAAGAGCTGCTGCTTAACTGGCATACAGGATGACAAGGGGGAAGCCGGTTGTGGCGGCTGTGGAGTGCGGGAGGGAAGGGGGGAAGGCTCTGAGGAAACTGCCTTCTGGACTGAAGAATATCCAGTCCCCACACTCTGGCCTCAGTCCCCCCAGCCACTCACAATTAAATAAAAAGGGGGACACCAGCTTCAAATTAAAGATTGGTAGCATGTAAAGCTATGTGTTCCCCTAAAGGTCTTGCATTTGGAAACCCGATAGACCAAAGCTGTACTTATATGCGAGGTAAATGAAAGACCCCCCCTGCTTTAGTAGATTTTTTTACTTGAGAGACAAGACACAGATGGAGAGGCACGACAAAGGTTTATTTAACAGAAAATGAAGTGTTTGATAGGGTAAATGTGATGCTGGGTAACTTAGATATGCAAAGTAAAACTGGTGCTACTACGGCTTGCCCAAGGCCATCCAGCCAGGTGCAAGTGGAGGAGTGGGGAATCAAACCCGGTTCTCCCAGATTAGAGTCCGTGCACTTAACCACTACACCAGACTGGCACAGAACCGACACAACATCAGTTAGGAATGATGGGCCCTTATTTGTACCACTGAAATAAGCTTTCTTCCATAAACCAGCCCCCAAATCCCAGCTAGAAAGCCAAATAAAAGCTTGGCTAAGCTGACGCTCCTTTCCAGAGCCACAAAATTCCCATCCAAAAGTAAAAGAAAAGGTTTCTCCCTTCTTATTAAGGCTGAGGCTGGGTCTCGCCCCTCCCTTCCAGTGGAGTTCCATGCGCTCTGATTGGCTGACAATCACCTGGATCTGCAGGAGGCCTGAATCAGAAGCAATGGTTCACAGTCCTGGAGGAGAGGCGGGACTTTTAGGGATGACTGCCACACCTGTTCTTCAAGTGCCCTGTTCCTAAGCCACTTTGAGCTTCCCGGGTAAGGAACAGTACTTTGAACCCTGCCTGGAAGCAAACGGGCAGCCCGTGGATTTCATTTAACACAGAGGTGATGCAACCTCTGTAACCAACACTCAACAACCACCAGGCTGGTGCATTTTGTTACCAGATGAATTTTTTTGAACGGTCTTTCAAAAGGTAGGCTCACATGGAGTGCATTACAGTAACCCATCTTGGATATGACCAGAGCATGGATTATGGAGGCCCGCTCTTACTTCCTAAGGAAAAGCTATAGCTGACATACCAGCCGAAGCAGTAAAAGACACTATGCGCCACGAGAGAAATTGGCAAGTTCTTGAATGTAGGCACAGATCATGTAGCACCTTCCAAACTATGAACCTGGTCCTTTGAGGGGGAAGTACAGCTTCTTCCAGGAAGAAGAAGGCAGCACGGTATATAGTCCAGTCTCATCAGATCTCAGAAGGGAAGCAGGGTCTTATACTTGGAAGGGAGACCACCAAGGAAGACTCTGCAGAGGTAAGGCAAACTGCAAACCACCTCTGCTTCTCACTTGTCTTGCATGCCCCTTGCTGGGATCGCCATAAGTGGGCTGCCACTCGATCGCACACATTTACACACACAGGCATGCACACAACCACTTCTAGAACAGGCTCGCTATTTAAAACTGAACAGCATTACCAACCAGCAGCAAATCAGTCTCGCCTGGACTGAGCTTAAAAAGCATGGAAGACAGAGGACAGAACATCAATACAGTGGACACACACAAGAACGCACATTTGGGTACACACACGCAGCAGGGGCTGCAGCCAATTACACCTTTCTAGTAAGCGTGTTTTCCCAGCGCTCCCATTTATAAATGTTTAAACATGAACCACATCTTGGGTTTTTAGGTGCACAGATGGTCCTTCCCACACCAAATGCGTAAGGTAAGCTAGGTTCAGAAAGA